AAAGTCACCCAGCTGGCTTTCATTCCTAAGGCGGGACTAGAACTCCTTGTCTCCTGGTGATTGGCTCAAAGTCACCCAGTCAGCTTTCATGCCTAAGGCAGGACTAGAACTCCTTGTCTCCTGGTGATTGGCCCAAAGTCACCCAGCCGGCTTTCCTGCCTAAGGCGGGACTAGAACTCACCGTCTCCTGGCGCTTGGCCCAAAGTCACCTCCCCCATCTTATGTGCTTCAGACGGAACTAGAACTCACTGTCACCTGGATTTCTAGCCCGGTGCTTCAACCACCATTTCTTCCTTTCTTCGTTTCAGTCCTTTCGAAGTGCAGGTGGCACCCGAAGCTGGCTTGCAGAAGGTTCGGGCCTGGGGTCCCGGCCTGGAAACCGGCATGGTCGGCAAGTCCGCCGACTTCGTTGTGGAGGCGATTGGCACCGAAGTGGGCACCCTGGGTACGAGAAAAGGAGCGCCAGGGATGGGCGTTTGGCAGGGGCTTTTGGGGGGGGGGAAGAGTGGACTTAACTGGCGGACCGGCTGACCCACGGACGACCCTCGATTCACCTCCTGTTCCAAATCCTCAAAATCTGCCTTCGGTGCAGAGGTGGGCTGCTGGGGGTTCTCAGGGGGTTCAGGACACCCACTAGCTCAGATTCTGTGCAGTTTGGGGGAACCCCTAAATCCCACTCCTGGCTGGCCCCACCCACCCGGCCCCGCCCCACCCACACGTCCCGTTTCGGATGCAGTAAGTGCATGGCGCGCACGCAAGCAGGGGTGGGTTGCAAATAGTTTTACTGCCAGTTCTGTGGGTGTGGCTAGGTGGGAGTGACTGGGTGGGCGTGGCTCCTTTTTTCTGCAGCACTCCCCCTTCATATTTTTTTTTACCTCCTGGGCCTCAAGGCAGCTCCCTGGGGGTGTGGGGGGGGGTCGTTTTTGGTCCCAAGAGGCTTGCCGGAGAGCCAGGAACCATCGTAAGTGTGGAAAACGGTCCTGACTGGCTTTTTGTTCAGCGCCATCGCAACTTTGAAATGGTCACTAAATGGATGCTTGTCAGTCGAAAGTTACCTGTAGATTTTGACTGATGACCGACATTGAGCCCGACCATTTTTGTCCTTAAGCGAGACAGTGAGGTTTGCCCCTCCCCTCCCTTTCTGGCCGCTGTCATGAAGTGAATCCCAGCAGTCGTGAAGGGAGTTCCAAGGTTGTTAAATGAATCCGGCTTCGGCACGCCGGTGGGAAGGTCACAAAAAAGGGGGGAGGAGATCGCGGGACGCCTGGGGACGACGCGACGGTCATAAACACGAGTCCATTGCGAAGCATCTTCATTCGGATTACGTGAACCGTGGGGAGGCTGTGACCGTCGTTAAGTGTGAAAAACGGTCCTACGCCCCTCTTTTCGGGGGCCGCTGTAACTTTGAACGATTGTAAGTCGAGGAGGACTTACCTGTAGTAGCACTCCGCAGTGGCCAGACGGGGAGAGCCGAAATGTCCAGATCTGGCCTAAAGAGTGAGCCCCACCTACTTTCCTAATTCTTTGCTCTTCCCGCCGCCTGGCAGGTTTCTCCATCGAGGGTCCGTCGCAGGCCAAGATCGAGTGCGACGACAAAGGAGACGGTTCGTGCGACGTGCGGTACTGGCCCACCGAGCCGGGCGAGTACGCCGTCCACGTGATTTGTGATGACGAGGACATCAAAGACAGCCCCTTCATCGCCCACATCCTGCCGGCCACCAATGAGTATTTCCCCGAGAAGGTCAGCCTCTCCTAGCTCACCTGGAAGGGATGGGGGCCTCTCCTAGCTCACCTG